TAAATGCCAAGTATCAGGGCGACATCGGTCGCTTCGAAATGACTGGAAAGGAAGAGTGCCCGCTTTCTCCCCAGTCTTTCTGCCTGGCTGCAATACTTGCTTACGTGTGCTTTCTTCCTTTTTGCTGGTTCTTCGTTGTTCTGTACTGCTGCAGAGAAGGCCGATCGCTTGCGCACTCTTCGCTTTGCTTCGGTTGTATCCGCCAGCATATTGGTGTGTGAGACGCTGCGGGATGGCACTTGCTCGGTATCACGATTACTTCGAAGTTTCATTTCCTAGAAAAGCCGGTTAATTCGTGAAATATGTAACGAAAATTGAAAAAATTACGCAGGGAGTACGTACACAACACATACATATAACAAGTCTCTCCGCAATTCGTTCATTCGTTTCGATGGTAAATTGGTATTGGCGCACGCCAGCGAGCCGAACGGTCAGCAATCTGCTTCTAAGGAACCCCCGGTAGGGAGACTCGTCGATAGCCATGCCAGCGGAAAGTTACAGTTAACATTTGCTACAACTTGGAGTACCTCCGAAATGCCTCAACTTTTCAGAGAAAGAGAATGTGAAGCGAGATTTTATTCCAAATTTGATATCAAAAAGTCAAAAGTCAAAAATCCTCCCATCACTCGTTTTCTCTGAGAGACGAAGACACTCAGGAAGTAGCCCGAATAATGGCAAACGCCAACAGCCAACCATCCGCTGCAAGACTGTCGATAGCTCCCTCTTCTGAGGGTTAGTTACAAGCAAGTCGACGGCGGGTTTGAATCCCTAGCATATGCCAGTACCAATTTACCATCGAAACGAATTGTAGAGGGACTGGTTGTCAAAGGCAGAGATAATGCAGATAAAGCGCTTTTGAAATATCCAAAAGTTAAAACAGAACTTACTCATACATACATACAAACAGTAAATTTGTACGACTTAATGGACCGAAACATTTCTTACCAATCACAAATATTCCAGTACTCCCTTCCCCCTTTTCACTTCATTCTCCTTCTCTTCTTTTTCCTTTCCCTCCCCATTTTCTACCTTAGTTTTAAATACATACAAACATTTTTTAAAAGTCAAGTGCATTTCGTAAAAGTACTGAAAATCAGATGAGGTGCTAAAGTAAAAAAAGATCAAACTTAGCAATTTCCGAATTTCTCATTCGATGCCCTCTGCTAACCATTAAACTCTGTCAGCAAGAAATTTCCCGATTTCCATTTCACCGCATTTAGTTTACGAATCAAACCAATAAATAATGTTGAGCATGATACTGAGTATCTTGCCGGTAAGACAGCACCATCGTGGCCCAGAAGTGGGATTGTTTCAGAGGAGGTGGCGATGCCCAACATCCCGAGGAAACTGCGAGATGGCTAAAGCCTTGCCAAATGCACCTAGATGAGTTTTTAGCTGCGAAGCTACTAGTAATGTGTTGAGGAAACGAAACGAAAGTCAAGATCGTCATAAGTACTGACTGCAAGGCGACACAACACTGGTCAATGCAAACAGAACAAAAGTCTGCAGCATATCCGGTGAATTAAAGTATCAGTGATAAGCGATACCAAGACCGTCTGGACTATCAGTGTACGCATCCTGCCAGTATAATTATCAGTAACCCATACTAATGATGTTACTAGATGATTTCACAGGTTGGGCTCTTCGACTCTGCGCTGCATAATTCCAGTTAGCACTCAATGCTTGCTCCATGCAAGGGAGGTACATCTTCGAAGGGTCGTCCGAGTGGTCGTTTACTTTCTCACAGGCACCATCGCTGGTGCTAGCACGACGTGCGCTGCTTGCAGGCAAGTTAAGCAATATGCCCAGCCCGCCGGATTTTAATTTGTCGCCTGGTCGCAATGATATTTTGCACTTCGCTCGTTCGAAGGAGAGTCTGACTGTTTGTACAAGATACGCCAAGCATCCTTCACTTCATCGCTCTCTCCGTCACACTCAGCGTTCGCGAAATTTCACCAGCGGATGCGCAGCAACTTGCTGGTAAGGCTGGCCGGCCCTCAACTTCTTGTTCTTCTGGAAGGTCCTCTCCGCCTCAACTGAGATCCTCCGGTTCACCTGCTAGCTACCGTACGTTCCTCCCGGAAGAAAGGTGATTATACCAGGGGACGGTAGCTGTTGCAGTAGCTTCTTTTAGCAGGCCGCAGTTAAAGAAAGGATGGACAGTACCAGTAGCTTCGACAGTACGATGGAGCGATTGGAGCAAGCGACAGCTACTCGATGCGAAACATTCGAAACTGCTGTTTTGTGTAGTTTTTGATATGATATTCGTAAAGTTATGCAAAATTACGCGTGCAGTCTCTCAACGACGAAATGTAAATTATGTTAGCCAATGCTACACAGACCG